AAAGCCATCACTGGTAGTGTCCATTTTAGATGGAGGTAAGATAAGGCAGGCTTCTTACTCACTTGCTGAGGAACAGCTGTGGGTACCACAGAGTCAGGCTCTTCTCTGAGGGTTGGAGGTTGGAGATTGCACCGAGCAGATCCCGAGCTCTCCCTTTAGCAGGGAGGGCACTGTGACCAAGCATTGAAAGGAATTCTGGCAGTGATTTCAGACTCTAGCAGGGCTGAGTGCCCTGAAAGGAGTCCATGAGGCAGGAGAGAAGAAGGTACCCACCCATGTAGTCTTGGCGAGACCCCGGGGGCCAAGCATGAGGACAGATGGGGGGCATTAGAACAGAGCCTGAAAAATGAGGACTCCTTTTGGATTGGGATGAAGGAAAAGAAAAGAGGAAGAAAGCCAGTGTGGAGATACAGGAAATGGGGGGAGCCAGGGAAGTGGTGGATCAAGGGAGTGCTTCTGGATGAGGCTGCCCCAGCCACCCATTCCCACAATGCGAGAGCACAGGCACGTCCTCCTTCCATGCCACCACCATGCTCACCTGTGTTGTGTCTGCTTGGAAATGGCTCTGCTCCCCTACATCTTGTCCTGGAGGGCAGCAACAGGCTTCTGGGACCCTGCATATAGGTACTTGTGGCGACCTGGGGGAAGGGAAACAGTCCTCCAGTGTTGGAGTTGGATGCATATATGAGGGAGTTGGGGCTTTCTGGAACCCCAATGTGGATGTGACACGCACACCCGGTGCCAGGTGGTAAATCATCAACTCTGTAAACAATGAAATGTGTAAACCAATAAGCTTGCTCCTGTTGTCTGTGGCAGGGATTTCCTGCAACGAGGGAGAGGAAAATCTAGTCCACAGTGTTCATGAAAACCCTCTGTGGCCAGCCTTCTATTCATCCATCTGTCCATCCATCCATCTGTCTCTCTCTCACACACCCCATATGATATACACTTGTATATACAAGTGTACAGCCTGGAACAGGACTGGGCTAGGCTGGGGTCCCTCTTGCTGTAGGACACCCCTGGGCCACTGGAGTGAAATCCAAGACTTTTGCAAAGGTGGCTGCTGAGATGAAAGGGCCATAAGTGGAATCAGCCAAATAGGTGGCAAAGACAGACAGGCTGTCTGTCTGAGGATTACAGTTTGAAGCCAGCCCAGGTAAGAAATTCTTTATTTCTCATTAGCTACCAGATGCCAGAAGTGGGACTGTGGCTCAAGTGGTAGAGGGCACTTTTCACTTTAGTGAAAAAGGATAGCAAGCTGGGCGCTGTTGGCTCATGCCTGTAATCCTAGCTACTCAGGAGACTAAGATCTGAGGATCACGGTTCAAGTCTGTGAGACTCTTATCTCCAATTAACCACTAGAAATCCAGAAGTAGGCTGTGGCTCATAGTAGAACACTAGCTTTGAGTTGAAGAGCTGAGGGACAACACCCAGGCCCAGAGTTCAAGCCCCATGACCGAAAAAAAAAAAAAAAGGATAGCAACCAAGCCCACACATTTTATTCTCAATTCACCAAATAGCATTTATTCATGGATTATCAGCTCTAAGCTGGTGCTGGGTTGGGCACACTAGAGTACACAAGAAGTTAGTGACTGATTCTTGTGTTTGCTCCTCCTGCCTTCATCTCAGAGTGCTGGAACTGGCTCAAATTCATGCCCTCAGCTCCCTTCACCCCCTCAGCTTGTGTTCTGGGCATCTTGGACACTTCTGATCCTTTCTGCTGTCCATAATGCTGTGGTTTGGGTTCTCTTCATTTCTTATCTTCCTCTTTAGTTTATATGTCTTATTTTTTTTTTTTTTGTCGGTCGTGGGGCTTGAACTCTGGGCCTGGGCGCTGTCCCTCAGCTCTTCAGCTCAAGGCGAGCGCTCTACCACTTGAGCTACAGCGCCACTTCCGGTTTTCTGGTGGTTTATTGGAGATAGGAGTCTCACGGTCTTTCCTGCCCGGGCTGGCTTTGAACCGAGATCCTCAGATCTCAGCCTCCTGAGTAGCTAGGATTACAGGCGTGAGCCACCAGCGCCCGGCTTATATGTCTTATTTTTTTTTGCTGTATTCTTTATGGATTTCAACTTCATACTTTGTTCTTATTGTTGTTTGTTTTCAGATCTCAAGAATACCGTGAATTTTTTCTCCTTGTGTTTTAGTTCCTTTAAAAAGTAATATTCAGGGCTGGAAATGTGGGTTAGTGGTAGAGTGCTTGCCTAGCACTGGGTTCAATTCCTCAGTAATACAAAAACAGAAAAGGCCAGAAGTGGCACTGGCTCAAGTGGTAGAGTACTAGCCTTGAGCAAATAAAGCTCAGGGACAGTGCTCGGATCCTCAGTTTAAGCCCCAGGGGAAAAAAAAAGTAATTTTCAGCTGAGCACTGATTGCTCACACCTGTAATCCCAGCTACTCAGCACGCTGAGATCTGATGATCACAGATCAAAGCTAGCTTGGGCAGGAAACACCATGGGACTCTCTTTTCCACTTAACCCCAAAAAGCTGGAGGCAGAGGTATGGTACAGCACTAGTCTTGAGCACAAAAGCTCAGTGATAGTACACAGGTCCTGAGTTCAAGCCCTAGGCCTTGGAAGATTTGGGAAGGGGCAAGGGAAAGGAGGGGACAGAGGGGGACTATGACTTTAACGCATTGTGTGCATGAATGGACTTGATGGACTTGTTAAAATGAAAGCCTGCTGCATAACCAATGTCAACTTTTTTTTTTTGGGGGGGGGGGGGGGAGGGCTGGTTGTGAGGCCTGAACTCGGCCTGGGAGCTGTCCTCAGCTCTTCAGCTTAAGGCAAGCAATCTACCACTTGATAGCACCACTTCTGGCTTTTTTTCCTTATGTGGTGCCGAGGAATTGAAGCCAGGGCCTCATGCAAGGCAAGCACTCTACCACTGAGCCACCTTCCCATCCCCCAATGTCAAGTTTTAACAAAAGTAACTCTCAAAGATGGCGCTTCTATCAGCTTCTAGGTAATATTTCCCTATCCTTTTCTGAGGAATGTTGGAACAGGCTCTCCACAGATTTTCTGTTATGCTCACTGACTGTCAGATGAAAGAAGGATTGACAGACATGCGGAATTTGTCACTGTGTGCCATCCCAGAGTTGGTTAAATAAAGCACCTTTTCACATTTCCCAGTAACTGACTGGCATTGCCCAGAATGGAACTGGCACCTGTTAGTGCAGGAATGTGAGGATAAGATCTTACCTTCCCTTAGCATTTCACTGAGAATAAACGGACAGTAAACAGTCGATCCCTCCCCAGGTGCTGGCAGTGGGGCTCTTCCAGTTGCCAATAGCAACCACAGCCCTGCCTGCCCTGCTGACTTTGCTTTGGGCACAGAGCAGCCTCACAGCCAGGCTCACTCTGCTTCTTGCCCAGGTGTTTCCGAGGGTTCAAGAAAACCTCAGGTGGTGGTGGGGGAAGGGGAGAGAAGAGAGGCAAACTATGGGGCTGCAGCTGCTGAGAAAGCTGACCTCCAGCCAGGCTATGCTCCTGTAGCTGCAAACCTTGATTTTTACACGTGTGTGCAGGCAGGGAGGGAGGAGGACAAGGAGAAACACCTCCATCCTAGGAGACTTAGAATTGGCAGCTCTCCCAGCTGGTCCTACCTGGTCATGAGCTGGTGGAAACCCCTTCATCTTCTCGTTGAAGAAGTTGGATGTGTGTCCATGTTTGGGAGATTTTCAATGGCTCTCCTGTGCCTGGTCATTTAGTTAGAAGCAGGAAGAAGCCACTTAAATGGAAAAGCCTTAATTAATGTTAAGAAACTCCACACAGTGACTTCTTTCCTGTGGTAACTTAAGACTGCAGCAGGGAAAAGCAGATAAAAGCAGAGAAGGTTTGAATCCAGTGTTGCCTGACCTTCAAAGCCAGATGATAACAGGAATTCAAGGCCTCTGTTCGCTAAGCACATCTGTGCAGCATCTAAGTGCATGAAGAAGAGAATGCAAATAGACAACGCAGACCCTACAACAGTGGTTTTAAAAAATGATAATAAAAAAGCTGGGTACTGGTGGCTCACGCCTGTAATCCTAGATACTACGGAGGCTGAGATCTGAGGATTGTAGTTTGAAGCCAGCCAGAGCAGGAAAGTCTGAGACTTATCTCCAGTTAACTACCAAAAAGCCAGAAGTAGAGCTGTGTCTCAAATGGTAGAGGGTTAGCCTTGAACACACAAAAAAAGCTCAGGGACAGTGCCCAGACCCTGAGTTCAAGCCCCAGGGCTGGCACCAAAATAAAAAAAGGTAATCAGCCAAGTGCTTGTGACTCTTGAGGCTGAAATTTGAGGATTATAGTTTGAAGGCATCCCTGGAACGAAAAACCATGAAACTCTTATCCTCAATTAAGCACCAAAAGAGAAAGTTGAGGTGTAGGTAGTAGAGCTCCAGTCTTGAGCAAAAAAGCTAAGTGAGAGCATGAAGCCTTATGTTCAAGTTCTAGTACTGGCACCAAAAAAAAAAAAAAGAAGAAAGAAAGAAAGAAAGGAAGAAAGAAAAAGAAAGAAAGAAAGAAAGGAAGGAAGGAAGGAAGAAAAAAGAAAGAAAAGAAAAAGAACCATTCTTCAAAAACCTTGGCATGACTTTTTTTTTTTTTTTTGCCAGTCCTGGGGCTTGAACTCAGGGCCTAAACACTGTCCCTGAGCTTCTTTTGCTCAAGGCTAACACTCTACCACCTAAGCCACAGTACCACTTCAAGCTTTCACCACTTCTGGGTTTTTTCCCTTTTTATGTGGTACTGAGGAATCGAACCCAGAGCTTCATGCATGCTAGGCAGGACACATTCCAAGACCCTTGGCATGACTTTTCTAAAGACAGTTTCCATTTGTTATACACAGAAATAATTTTACTTGTCCTAGTTTCTAATAAGTTAAAGATCAGCAGAAAGGGGACTAGCTCTAAAGAGAGAACCAGGATAACAACCATACAATGCCCAAACCTGGGCTTATCACCACCGTGTGGAAATTTCACTGGGATCAAAACTTGCTAAGCAGGTGACAAACCAGTCGGTATAATTCAAACAGATTATTTATTCCAAGTCCCATCCATTTAAAGTAATATCAAACCACATAACCTGAGTTAAAAGCCAGTTCATTACTTCAGAACCTATTATTCAGAATCCATGAGGAAAGTTTCGAAGTCCAGATCCAAGTCAGAAACGAGAGCGCCCACAAAGTCATCGATGGAAGGGCTCTTCTGGAGCATACCTATGACCAAAGGGAGCAGAGTCAGCAACACGGGAGTGACAGGACACAGATCCAAAACGGCATGCCACAAGACAGGACAGGGATGGGGGGGATGGGGATGGGAACTGGGACTGAGATGGGGGAGGCAGATAGGTTTACTCTGGCTGTATAACTTGAATATGAGGATATTTCATAACCTTGTAGGCCTTGACTCTATTCATGACTAGAAAACATTTGTACTTTCTAATCAACACTTACGTTACAGATTAAGCCCTAACTATACTTCCCACAAATTTTTTTTCCCACAAAATACCTGTCACTGCAGGTAGTACTGTCTACTTCAAATGATGTTAAAAGGTTCAATATTTTTTTTAGTTATCTTTGAGATGACTCAGAATTTTCTTTCTTTTTTTTTTGTATCAGTAGTGTGGCTTGGACTCAGGGATTCATGCTCTCACTTGGATTTTTAATTCAAGGCTAGTATTCAACCATTTGAGTCATACCTAACTTCTGGTTTTTGAGTGGTTAACTGGAGATAAGTCTCACACTTTTCTGCCCAAGCTGGCATTGAACTTTGGTATTCAGATCTTAGGATCCTGAGTTCCTAGGATTACTGGTGTGAGCCACTGGCACACAGCCAAGTATTAATTCTTTGCAAAAATCTTGTATCAGAATCAAGTTAGTTTTTCCTCCATATTCCTTTGTCTTTGAGAACTATCTTTGTACCTTATGAATTGTTCAATGAAGAATTGTTCAATGAAGAACCAGCTCAAAAATATACTTCTGTATGTACTGTATGCTGAGTACTGATTGGAAAGCTTCTAAGACTCTTATCTCCAATTAACCACCAAAAAGCTCAAAGTACAGGGCTGGGAAGGTGGCTCAGTGGTAGATCGCTTGCCTTGCATGCATGAGGCCCTGAGTTCAATTCCTCAGCACCACATAAGCAAAAAAGAAAAAAGCCTGAAGTAGCGCTGTGGCTCAAGTGGTAGAGTGCTAGCTTTGAGTTGAAGAACTGAGGGACAGCGCCCATGCCCAGAGTTCAGGCCCCACGACTGGACCAACCCCCCCCCCCCAAAAAAAAAAAACAAAAAACAAAAAGCTCAAAGTACAAAGTATGGCTCAAGTGTACCAGCACACACACACACACACACACACACACACACACACACACACACACACACACACACACACACCCCACACACACACAGCTGTCTGTAAAGACTAGTTGTTTTTTGTCGGTCGTGGGGCTTGAACTCTGGGCCTGGGCGTTGTCCCTCAGCTCTTCAGCTCAAGGCGAGCGCTCTACCACTTGAGCTACAGAGCCACTTCCAGTTTTCTGGTGGTTTATTGGAGATAGGAGTCTCACGATCTCTCCTGCCCGGGCTGGCTTTGAACCGTGATCCTCAGATCTCAGCCTCCTGAGTAGCTAGGATTACAGGCGTGAGCCACCAGTGCCCGGCTGTAAAGACTTCTTAAAAAGATTTCTTGGACTACAGTTTTAAACAAAAAAGTTGAGTAATTTTAATAACTTTGAAATATTTGGTTATGGAATTGTGTGTAGCATTAGAAGGCTTCTCTTTGTAAAATGTATGCAATAAAACTTCAAAAACTAAAAAATAAAGAGAAGTCACTAAAAAGCTCTGGTAGCAGAACTTCCTCATTTAATAATATAGGAGGTTGCTGTAAATAAAGAGGCAGCAAGAAAGAAGTAGAAGATACAGTGGAACACAGTCAGGCAGGGGGCTGACATAGGCATGTTTGTAGTGAAAGGGTAAAGTGATATCACCTTTAGAAAAAAGTCCAGGAGTTTCTTATAAACTAAACACCCCTCCACCCTATCACCCAGATATTTTGTCCCTAGGTATTTGCCTAAAGAGAAGGAAAGCACATTTCAACAGGGAAAGGACTTGTATATAACCAGACAGGAAACAGACATACTGCTATGCCCCCCAAAATGGAATACTGCTCACCAGTAAGAAGGAACAAACCAGTTGGATACCTGTGGCTCATAACTATAATCTTAGCTACTCAGGATGATGTGATCTAAGGACTTGAGAATCTGGGTTCAAAGCCAACCTGAGCAGACAAATTTGAGAGAGTCTTATCTCCAGTGAACCAGCAAGAAGCCAGAAGTGGGGTTGTGGCTTAAGTGATGGAGTGTAGGCCTTGAGTGAAAGTGCCAAACAAGAATTCAAGTCCCTGAATTCAAACCCAGTAATGGCACAACAACCCAAACAAAAGACAGCAATTAATAGAAAGGAGGGGAGAAACATAGTGTTCATGGGTGTAGGGGACAGGATTTGAGCAGAAACCTGAGAGAATGGGGAGGATTTAGGTCCGGATTTGGGCCATCTAAGGGAAGGGACAACGTAAGATCCATGGGTTCCAGGATGAGTTCACTATGTGGCCATACTACAGCTGTGAGCTCAGCACCATGCGTAAGTACAGAATCCAGCCATATCTTTGTCTAAAACCCAGAAAATTTTAGCTGGGCATTGATGGCTCAGGCCTGTAATCCTAGTTATAGAAGAGCCCATGAGATTCTTATCTCCAATTAAGCAGCAAAACAAGCTGGAAATGGAGGTGTGGTTCAAATGGTAGAATGCCAGCCTTGAGTGAAAAAGCCAAGAGAGAACACAAGGCCCTGAGTTCAAGCCTCAGTACTGGCACACTGACGAGCACGCATGTGAGCGCACATGTGTGCACATGTGCCCCCCGCCCCGCCCCCCAGCACAGTGCGCCTCGCTCTTTGCCCCACAAACGCCCTGTTAGACATGCAGCTAATGCAGTCATGGGCAAGCAGGATTAAAAGCAATTGCTTGGCAGTGGGAGTAGGCCTCTAAACCAACCTCTGCAAAGGCAGAATCTTTTTTCTGGCTCCTTCACTAAGCACCCTAGGGTGAAATGGCTTGTGTATTGTTTCGCTTTGAGCCTCTAGAGGATTACCGGGGCAATTAAAAAACATTAGAATGATGTGAAGCCTTCAAAGAGTTACCTCTCCCCCTTGGATCTATTTCATATATTGCTTAATGCCAAGGATGTCCAATAAAGTAAATTTGTGGTTATGTTTGATCAAAGTTTAGTGAAAGACATGGAAAGATCAGTGATGGGACTATAAACAGAACTGAGCTGAGGGGTTTTCCATTCGTCTAGTCATTCATTTCCTCGCTGGACCTGAGTGCCTAACGTCAATTAAAAATTGACAATAAGTAAATAAATAATTAGGGATTATTTATTTGGAAGGCATTATGCATAAAGATTATCAAAATAGAGTCACTTGGGAACTTGTTAGAAATGTCGATTCTCCCCTCTTCTCTACCACTGAGGTGCTGGGGAATTGAACCCAAAACCACCTAAGAAGGAGCTCTACCACTGAGTTACACCCTTAGCCCATGAAATATAAATTCCTGCTACTGGGCCCCAACCTTGAGAATTAGAGTTGGGGGTGGCTCAGGACCTGTGGTTTAATAAGTCCTCCCAAGATGGTCTCATATTACTGTGAGAAGAACTCAGCATGGTAAGAAAAAAAAACAAAAAACACTTTAAAGCAGAAATGGAAGGGTACATCTCTCAACTGGCAGTTGTAAAATTTGAAAAGTGTTAAGCAAAAAAGATATGTATGGTTTTCTATTTAGCTTAAAAAAAATCTGTCTCCAGTGAAAAAGCAAACAATCTTATCAAGGAAAACTAGGATTTGTTTGGGACAGCATTCCAACTTGTGGTGGCCTGGGCCTAAGAGTGGGGAGCAGAGCGGACCTGTGCAAAAGTGACCTGGGCCTGTGGGTGAGGACAGTGCCAGGAGCCCTGGCAGAGCCTGAGCTGTGCAGGCTCTGGGCCCTTTGGGCCTGGATCAAGGAGACTTCTGAGTGGGGCCTCCTTGAGGGCCAAAGCAGTGTTTTAGTTTAAAAAAAAAACAAACTGAAAGCAGGATGGGTTTTGATGACTGGAATCTGTTTGAGAGAAGTACTTTGCCATGCCCAGCCACATGAACTTTCAGGGGGAAAGTTCATCAGGTTTTTGAAATCAAAGCTAAAAGCGAATCTTGCTTCCAGCCATAGCACTGTACTCCAGTTAAAATCAATGGAGTTTGGTCAGGTTTCTATTTAAGGCCTACAGCATCATTTGTTTAGGGGAAAGTCTGGTGACCCAAGAGGAGCCTCAGGTTCCACAAAGGAACGGTCCTACAGGGGACCCGCACCCAGCCACAGGCCACTGGCCAACCCTAGAGCACTGTGCAAGCTCAAAGGAATGGTTCTGAATGGAATTTTATAACTTTGAATATCAGTCTAATTGTCTTCCTTTGACAATACAACTTTTCCTTAGAAAAGACACAAAGGAGAAACACAGGAAAAATGCATTCTTCCTTTTCTAAATACTTTAGATGCCTCTAAAGAAAGCAATGCTTACAACTCACATTTGGCAAGCAGTTTTTACTCTAGGTTAATTAACTGGTTTAAGGACTTCAGATCAATAACCTAACTTCCCAAAGTCTCATTTTTGAACTTTATGTTTGAAGATTATGAAATTGGCATAGATCATGTGCTTCCCTAGATTGGCAGGAGGATTACATAAGATCATGTTTAACATGGGGAAATGCTTAGTAACTAGCACTAAAAACAACTAGACCCAAAGGTTTGTGAAAACCTGCTTCTCAGTTCAAGAGCTGAAAAAGAGGTTGTTTATTATTTTTGCCCAAGTTGAACTGGTCTGTGATTAAATGTTTAGGTTATTAACATAACACTTACTACCGTAAACTCTAGCTCACAAATCTAAGCCTATTTTTTTTTCTGATTTTTGCCATGGGTTTTGGTTTGTTTTTTATCTAATAAAGAAAACAAACAAAAGATGTAGTTAAAATCACTCCATCTTCCTATCTGATAGAAGCTGTGATAAAAAGGTTTATTAAGTAGAGATAACTAGGGCAATAGATACTTAGGAGATGGTGATAGGAAGGTCCTGGAGCCCGGCCAGACTTGGAGATACTTGGGATAGGCTGTCCCCTGACAAAATGAGACCCT